TTCTTGGAATTTCTAATTGACGATGGTTACTTTGGTTTTGTAGGATTTTGTATCATGATTTTTAAATGATTCAAGATCAAGGCAAAGCAAAAGTTAACGCGGAGAAATAATGCATACAAAAGCTGAACGTATCCTGTAAACTAAGTAACTCTTCTTTGTTTAAATAACGATTGTCAAACAATCTATACTTGAAATAGATTACAATTGAGTCTAGGAGCCGGCAGTATACTCGCTCGAAATGCTTTATAAATATACGTTAATGGATTGTTTAAATCACGTCTTTTGAATTTCCATTATTTTGTAATTTGAAATTCAATATGATATTCATTAAATATATAAAATATAAATATATCGTATATCAATTGTTCAAAAAAGGATGCCTTATATTTTTTAATAATAGAATTTTGATCAATTTCATCTTGTAAAATTTTACATAACGAAGTAAATTTAAAAAATATCTTTTATTAGGCCGTAGTCTTAGAAGGAAAATATTGGAAACGAAAACTAGCGGCTGTTACTGCAGAATACAAGAAATGGCGTATGTTTTATCGGAACAAAATCCTTGGCTGGACGAACAAAGATGGCACCGAAATGGTATTCTATCTATTAAATTAAAAATTTTAATATTGGATTCATTTTTCGTGGAGAGAATAAAACGTAATGCTGTTATTACTTTCTTTTTCTTAGTTAATTTTCATTATCTTTATTTTTTTTAAATTCGATAATATAATAATGAATATTTATTAATATTGCAAGAATTTTTTAAAAATCATTAGTATATTATATTATATATTATTATATATTATTATATTATATATATTTCTTATTCACATTTAAAAATGGCATTATTTTAGATGGAATCGATGGATGTGTTAGATTGGGGCAACGGATTAGGAACTTCGGGCAACTTTGGAGCAGGTACAGGCAACACACACGGAGGGACCAGTGGGACTCCAGGAGGAGAGAGTATGATGGTTGATGAAGATTATATGGAGCTTATGACTGATACATTATTTTCCACAATCAGTTCAAATCAACCATTATACTTTCCCGATCCGAGAGAAATTGGTAACTCATTAATTCAAATTGTTAACAAAAAAAAAAGCACAAAATAAGGACTCAGAATAACATTATAATATATATATATATATATATATTTTTTAAAGATTATATACATAAGAAATATAAAAAATAAGCAAAATTAATACATAAATGATATAATAAATATAGCTATTTGCAATTGCAGCGCGAGGAGCTAGTCTGGCGGATTTTATACAACCCAGCCTAGGACCGCTTCAGCCAAATTTAGATGATTTTATGGATACTCTTGAACCATTACAAGGTATTGAATCATTGTGAAGTTAATCATATATAAATACAAATAATAATATATCAATAAACAATAATATTCGCAATAATTATCTTGTAGAATTTTTGAATTCAAAGTTGCCCCCTGTCCCTGAGGAGGACGATATGTTTCGAAATAGTACTTTGAATACAAACTATCCTGATCTCGATCTGATGACGCCTATGAATCAGATTAACGAGTTGAGCCAAGAAGCGACGGTAAAGAATGAACAAGCTTCACAACAGGCGTTAGTACAGGACGAACAAGCAGGTACTATACAAAATCTTCAATATACAGCTAAAATATATACTCAACCTCAGCCAGAGCCAACGAATGCGTTCAGGAATAATAATATGTGAGTATTAATTATTCATTACTTAAAATATTTTAAAATGAAATTCTATTTTAATATCCATATGTATATTATAGAACCTTAGCTGAGAATTATAATGCTATACAACAAAGTTATGAATCCTCTTCGACCAGTCAACCTGTCAGAGAAAAGAGTCGGCCAAGTAGAATTTCTTCAAGAACTAATCGAGTAATTCAACAATCTCAGCAACAACGGAATACTTATCAGCGTACAACGCAACAACAAAATTCGCCATATCAGCAATCTTCACAGCCACCTTATGCCATGGAGATTCAAACAGTTCTAACACCAGTTCAAAACCAAGTTCAAATGACATCATTGAATGATCAATCTATTCATGCAAATCAAATTTCACCTATCACAAATTTGGTAACCGTACAGCAAAATTTCGGACAAACAAATTCCATAGTGTCAAGTCAGCATAGAAGTATCAGGCCTTTACCACCAGTTGCACCGATTTCAACAAAACCGTATAAAGTTGTTCAACCGCAACAATGTTATAAGTTCTCTACGCTTCCGCAAAGCTTTAATGCGCAGCAATGTAAATTCAGCACTAATAATTTCAAGGTATTCTCAGATATAACGTGATAAATTCTGTTTTATTAAAACATGGTGTTTCATTTGAATATTGCATCAACAAGACAAGAAACTATGATTAGCAATAGAATCAGATTATCGTAATATTTTTCAGACACACCCACCACAACAAGTCGTATCGGTTTCCACAGAGCAACCGTCACAGTCACCGATATTATTACAGTGCAGATCCTCTGGTTTGGATCTTACTACACCAACCATACAGCCGACAAAATTATTACCACAGTCTACCACGTCTAATTCAGAAAAAGAAGAAGTTTTTGCTGTACCTAAGGTTGATATGTAAATTATAATAAACCTGTTTATAAATCGATAACGTTTTCTTTACTGTTTGATGCAGTATAAGAAATTTAAAATATTTATGATAATAATATTTTTTTTTTCAGTATCAAATGAAAGCAAGGAATAGATCTCGGAGCAGTTCATCATTAGCATCGCCAAGAATTCATCCACCATTAGTATCGGCGGCGAGCGATCCCGCTCTAAATCTAAATAACAATGTTTTGCTCGCACAGTTACTCACTAATAGTATGTATTCTAAGAAATGCAATTTTTATATAGTTAAGTTTTTATTTTTTGTTTTATAAATCATTTAATGATATATACAAATGATATACAAATTATTAAAAAATCGATCACATGGTATTATATATATTTTGATGTAAAGAATATTATAAAAGCTTCAATATCATTACATAGACACATCTGGTGTACACACAATGAATATGCCGGCTGATAATATAATGCCAACAGTGAACCAAACAACCACTATGAAATACATCTCATCTATGCTTCCACCTTCAGCTTCGCCTACGCAGATAACGACAACCCACCATATTACCACGCCGGTTACTGTCCAAACTATGCAAACATCTACAGTGCAAGTGCAATCGCAACAACAGGTATTTTTTATATTGCATTTTATTTCGAAATCAAAAGTTATTTAAGTCAATGTTGTTCAAGAAAGAAGTTCCTTTCGATGTTTGTAAAGTCAATTTAATGTCTTACAATAATAATAATATACAAGTAGAACTCTTTAGCTTGAGCCGCGAAGACTTAAATAATATGTATAAAGATATTACTGATTATATAACATTGATACTGACAATAATAAATTTTCACCTTGTATAATATATGATGTATTTAACTGTATATTGCATATTAGGCAATGCAACAGACTACTTGCAGCCAACAAATGTTATTAAATACAAACACTCAAACGCATCAGCCACAAAATAGTCCCGGATCACCGAAGGATAGCTCTAACGCGCACAGTCCTCAAGGGTTAAATCTCAGTCCTTTGCATAGTCCGATGAGCATAGGAAGTCCATTATCGCCAAGTCGAGGTTACATAAAAGGCGAAACGGAACGGGGACAATATAAAGAACAAAGAAGAGTTGGGCACATTCATGCAGAGCAAAAGCGTAGATATAATATTAAAAATGGATTTGATATGTTGCATAGTTTAATACCGCATCTTAATCAAAATCCAAACACGAAGATGAGTAAAGCCGCTATGCTGCAAAAAGGAGCAGATTATATTAGGCAGTTAAGGGCGGAAAGAAATCAGTTAAAGGAAGAGATGGATAGTTTAAGACATCAAATTGAGTGCCTTAATACATCTATTAGGTAATAAGAAAGTCGACATGAAAGAAAAAAATTAATCATTTTTAAAAAACTACATTGAATTTATAATGAATGTTCTATTATAGTAATTGTCAATCTATGCTTCCTGCAACGGGTGCTCCAATATCTAGACATAGAACTAACAAAATGAAGGAGATGTTTGACGAATATGTACGCACGCGTACACGAGAGAATTGGAAATTTTGGATTGTATCCTTTAAAATATGTTTTACAATTTCTTTTTTTAACTGAATGTATCGTATATAAGATGAAATGTATATTCTTTATAAAATAATTAGTTCAGTATATTGCTTGAACCTTTAATGATTTCTTTTAATACTTCGGTATCAACCGCAAGTATTGAAGATTTATATCGAAGTACAATATTATGGGTCGAGCAACATTGCTCACTCGTTGATCTCAGACCAGGTTTGTATCTTTACTAATAAAAATATTAACAATAGCATAATAAAATCAAACATATACAAATACAAATATTTAAGATTTATTTATAATCATTTACCATTGCAGCTGTTCTGAATTCTCTAAGATATCTGTGTACTGCCACTGATATTCTATCAGATCCTGGTCGTCTACCCGAAGAAGCACTTGCAGCAGTCGATCGTACAGAACGACGACGATCAACTCAGTGACCAATTGTAATATGCAAATACGTCGTGAAACGTGATTTGCTTATATATTGAAAAAAAGAGCAAAAGAAAAGCAGTTACCGTAGCAGTAAGCTAATTTAGGAAAGAAACTTATGTGAAAATTTTTAAGACGATTCCTCTTATAATAAGCTTTCAGGTTTCTTTTTGCAATGATAGTGGTTGAAAATGGAAAGGACTTAAAGTGCAATTTTTTCCCTTATATTTTTCAAAATTGTGATCATAAAATTTAATAACTAATTGTTAAAGAAAAAAAATGTGAAGATGTATACATGAATTTATTCACAACGTTTAACAAAATACATATTATAATGACTGTTACATAAATTTGGAACACACTGAGATTTAAACATCCTTTTTTATAGCGATTATCGCAATTATTCATACAAAATATTAACAAAATGGAAAGTACATTCATATTTATTATATAATTACGTACATTACGTATTATGTTCATTCAGTTCATTAAAAAAAAAATTATGTAACTTTACACTCGGACATTGCGATAAAAAATTTTTATCATAAATTCCTTTCTTTTTTTCGTTCTTAAATTTTTCTTTTTATTAATTCATTAAATTCATTGTAATAATTGCCTACATATATCTATTGATAATATTTAAAAAAAAAAGGAAGGAAAAATATGTAGAGCAAACCATTCCATATTTTTACTATGCTTGTTTTTAACTATATATGTCACTTACAATGATAAAAAAAAAGGAATCATTATTTCTTGAAATTATTCTATTTCTTTTTTGATAATGTTTCATAACAGCTTTAAGATAAATATATTTATAAAAAATATATTTTGCGACTCAAATACATGTTATATTATCGGTATATTTTTATAATAGTTGAAATATAACTTTTATAGAAAAATATTTTAATTTTGGAAACTCTCTTATTAAGATAGACAAATAAAGAATTGTTTATAATAAATTAACGTTAAATAATTAATTGATTTTTATATGCTATATGAAAATATATATTTGAATACATCTAAATGAAATTAGTGCCATGAAATTGTAACAAGAGACTGGAGTAAGAAATATTAATTGTTAAAAATATTTGATCTATTTAATTAATTGTGTTTTTAACAATTTAAAAACTACAATTTAACTAAATCATTTAAAATGTTTTTAACTTTAATTTTGCATTTTATGATAAATATATAAGTGTTGATACTTGCATAGTAATAATTTTAAAAGAATAAAAATTTATATTGCAAAAAATCGAACGTATAAAAAAATGGGTTGCTCACAAATTATAAGTTTATTATATACTATTAATGTTATTAAATATGAAGTTTTTAATACGAAATTTCATGTGATAATGTACAAATCATTTATAAAAGAATTCAAATTAGAGTTTAAGTTATAAAAGACTTCTGTATATTGTAATATTATTAGTTTTAAATATCTATTGTATATAGTTGAATATTAAAAACAATGGACAATCTTTACAAAGTAATTCTTGAAATAATTTTTAATAATTGCTAAAATTTTACTTTTTATAAATATGTTTAATTAATTTTTATAATATACAGTTGTCTTTTATTTAACTTTACATTATATATGTATAAATGATAAATAATATAAACAAATCAACAAAGGGATGTTTTTTGTACAATATGTATCATATAATCATATAAAAATTCATGTATTATTATTCAAATGATTACCTCTATAAACAAATTAAATTTTCCTTTTTTTTTCATGAATTTAACAAATTAAAAATTATTAATTTTTTATTCATGTTTTTTTTATATTTATTATTATATCTTACTACCCATATTTGAATATTATGATATTCAATATTATGTTTGATATTTTCTTCTATTGAATATTATTTAAAATTAAAATAATTATTATTATTAATCAGTCATGGGTAATAAGATGAAAAAATATAATTTTTTTTCAGCAATTTCATAAATTTTAAAAATCTTTATTAATTGAAGAATATTAAAATTTATATTATAAACGCCCAAGTTGAACATTCATCACAAATTAAATATAAAGACATCCTATTGTTTTCAAAAAGTGGTAAGAAACCAGGTAATTCCTTACATTGTATAGAATGAATATTTACACAATTATTAATAAGACATCCTATTTCTTTCACACTAAGACAATTGTCTAATACAAAATCACAAGATTCACAAGCTATTTTATTTTCTTTTTCTATTAAATTAGATTTCTGACATATAGGACAAATAACTTCATTTACTTGTTGATCTGCTTTAAGTGCTAATACTTCAATTTCTTCTTGTACCATTCTTTCATATTCTTCTAATATCCATTGTTCTATATAATAAATAATGCATAAACGTTATGCAATGTATAAACAAAAAAAATTCTATTATTTTACCTTCTTCATCAAGTATTTTAGCTTCAAGTTCAAGTGCTTCTTCTGGATCAAGTGGTTCATTTACAAAAAAAGGATTCAAAATTGGATCTAAATCTGTAGTAGCAAGATTATTTAATTCTTTACGAACAATTTCAGTTAATGTATCTTGTACATTTTTTGAATTTATTTCTAAACCGAATCTATTTCTATTAAATAACTGTCCTCGTTTTTCTCGCATTCTTTCTCGACATCTCTAAAAAATCATATTTTATTTTATGCATTAAAATTCCATCAAAATATAATAAATTGATTACATAATTTTGAGTTTCAAAGATTTATATTTTTTATTTGTTTTAAGTTTCAAAGATTGGAAATTCGGACGTTCAAAAATAATATTAAATGATTAACCTCTCTTAAAACTTCTTGTAATTTTGGAGAACTATGTCTAATTCTATTGACATTATTTCTAGTTTTTAATTTTAAAGCCATTGTTGGACTTAATTTTATATTTTCCATATTTTTT